ATTATTTAGAGGTCCACATGTATAAGTGATATAGGTCTAAAGTTAGAGCATACGGTTTGGTCAGTATTGGGTTTAGGTATCATGCAAATAGATGCCATTAGAGATTCTTGCCTGTAAAGGCTTGTGTTAACAATGGGGTTAAGAGATTGGAAAATTCCTTATAATACTGGGCCGTGAACCCGTCAGGGCCAGGTTTTTTTATGGGGTCTGAGAGATTTTATAGCATTTTTAATTTCGTCCTCAGTAAATGGGGCTCTCTAAGAATTCAATTTGATCTCCAGAGAAAGAAGGGAGAGAGATTTTTAAGTGTATCTTTAATTAGAGAAGCATGTGGTTGGTTAGGGGCAGAATAGGGAGGTGTTTTTGGAAAATGTCCAAAATTGCAGTAGGAGTGCAAGTAAAGGAGCTGTTATTGTTACGTAATTTTAAGGGTTTGAAGGATGAATCTACGTTACGGAGCTTAGTTGCTAAAAGGGAGTCAGCTTTGTTTCCCTTGAGATAGTATTTGTGGGCAGTGCGATGAAGTTGATGTTGTGCATAGGTGGTTAATAGGAGATTAAGATCTTGGCTTGCCTGTTCCACTTTCTGTTTGTTAGGGGGAGAAGGGTTCATTGAGAAAGAATGGGAGGCTGTGAGAAATTCAAGTTCCAGCTTTTTAAGGAGTTTGAGCCTCTCCTTTTAATTTAGAAGCCAATTGAATACGTTTTCCGGTAAGAACCAGTTTGTGTGCTTCCCAGAGTAAGATATGAGGGGTGTCGGATGATTGGTTAGTTTGGGTGTATTCTTGTATGGCAGAGATAATGTGAGAACGGGATATAGGGTCATTGAGAAGGGAGTCATTGAGCATCTAAGATGGTGTAATATTATTGGGAATAATGAAATGAAATGAAAGAGGAGAGATATGGCAGAGTGATTGGACCATGGAATCGGTATAATATGGGAGTGAAAGATTGAGGGAGTTAGAGAAGTGGGAACAAAGATGTGGTTTATTCTAGAGAAGACATCATGAGGGTGGGAGTAGTGGGTATATTCCAATTTTGAAGGGTTAGTTTCCTGCCAACAATCAGTGAGGGAATAGTGGGAAAGGAGGTCCCTACAGGCTGTTGAGGAATGTAATGTAACAACAGAGTCTCTGGATCTATCTCTATGAGGAAAAAGGGTGAGATTAGAATCTCCACATAGTATAATTGTGCCAAAGTCCTATGAGTACGCCTCTGCCTTTAGAGAGCCCATTTGCCATATAGATATGAGGGAACTGTGAGCTAAAATATTTAGGTGCAGATGAAGAAAAGTTGGTCTCTTGGAGAGACACACTGTCAGCCTGTGCAGATCTAAGAAAATCTAAATGCGTGCATACATTTGTTTGGGGAGTTGAGGCCTTGTACATTAAGGCTAATTATTTTCAGTTGCATAATAAAGAGGGGGAAAACATGCTAAGGAAAAAGAGATCTCAGGGGGTGTGATCCACTTTGGAAGGTAGAAGGAAGTCTGCTCCACCCATGACCAAGAGAGCAAGAAAGGGAGGGCAACAGAAGAGAAAGGGAAGAAAGAGAGGGGAGAGAGACACAGTGGGTTGGAACAATTAAGCAATATGAAAATGGTAATGTAAATTAACAAGGGGAGAGGAAAGTTCCCTCATAAACTAGGGGGAGGGTTGGATAGAAGGGACAAATATTGTACCAAACCATCCAAACAATTGGGGTCTCATTGACTCACTCCCCCAAGCAAACCTTAATAACTAACAAAACAATGTTTCTTAAAGAAGTATATAAGGGGACATGAACAACACAATAGAGGTCTAAATGTCATATTAATATCGGGAGGGCTTAGTTATGTATTCACTACTAGAATCAGCAAGGTAAAATATTTATTTATAATAGGGAGATGCTTAAAATAATGTGAACCCAGTAAGCGAAAAACCAGTGAAGTAACTATTTTTTTTTTCTTTAAGTGGAAAAATTGAAATGTAATCTTGGGCAAAAAGTGATGGAAAATAATATGTATGTGTCCACCCTGCTTGGCACTGGCCTTACTTAAAAAAAATGTGTATAAAAATACACATTTAAAGATTTGTACACTTATGTGTAAATACCTGTGTACCTAAATACAACAAAATACAAATGTGCACAATCATAAGGAACAGAAAACAATATGGAAAATCGTAACATCGGAATCAAAACATGAGGTGGCTACTTGCGGGTCAAAGAAGATATCCAGACATGGAGGAACGAAACGGTATAGCGGTTCCATTCGGGCAAGAAGGAGATGTTGAGGTTGTCATGGTAATATTGGTTGTAGAGCATTTAAGAAAGACTAATGAGGATGATCATGAAGAAAACTATTAGAAACATTTTCTAGGAGATATTGTAATTGCTCATCCTGGGTTGCCGACCCTTGGGGCAATCTTGGGTGCAGGGCTACAGGGATCACCAGGCCTGGTGGATTCCTAATCACTGCGGGAGCGTTTTGAAGTAGCTGATGTCGAAACTGAATGGGGGGATGAGGTGTCTCCATCAGAGAGGCCAAGTGATGACAACGAGGCGTTGAAAGTTAGTTTGTGAGTGAGCACAAACAACTGACCAATAGTCGGGATAGTAGAATATGGGCTACATCCAGATCCCTGGGGATCAGCCTACATCATCAAGCACATGGATGTCAGTGCTTGGGAGGATTGCGTCAGGAGTAACATTCCAGTACTGACATCTGGAATAGCAAATTATTTCCCATTCTTGGTGATGAGCACTTTGGTGGGGTTTCCCATCTATATGGAAGCCTGTGGTCACGTAAAAGCTTTTGTTATACACAGTAATTTTTTTCCAAGCAGCAATGGTTGCTTGTGGTAAATCACCATAGAAGGGGCTGCATATGATTCCGGTAAAGGAGAGACACAGCGGGAGAGGAACATCAAATGCTCTTTCACATGATAATGTATGGAAGCTATCACATCCTGGGGTATAGTAGTAGGAAGTTGGGAAGGTGATGAACTCTGTCGACTATAGTCTCATAGTCTGATAGAGAAGGCAGCAAATCTTTAATCAATTTCTGTACAAAGTCACACAACTCTGCCGGTGGTATATTTTCATGAATTCCCCTGAATTTAATGTTGTTCTTCCGGAAACTGTCTTCTAAGTCTGCTAACTTTAAAGACATGGTTTGAATCTCAGCAGTTGTGTCTTAATAAGCATCGACCAGTTCATGATGTGCCCTGCGTACTCCCCCATTTTGACTTCAACATGATTAATCCATTCTCCTAATTCTTTAACCTCACCCTTCATTTAGTGTAGTATGGGAACCATATCATTATGTAGAGAACTACGTAAGGACAGTGATTGGCGGAGGGATACGGTAGTCCCAATATTCAAAAAGGGGGCTAGGTGCCAACCTGGGAACTATAGGCCGGTCAGTCCAACATCGGTAGTTTGTAAAATGCTAGAGGGCATAATAAAGGATTATCTGGTAGAATTTGTTCAGGAAAACGGGATAGTTAATGACAATCAGCATGGGTTCAGGAAAGATCGTTCCTGCCTAACTAACTTGCTAACTTTTTATGAGGGGGTAAGTAGAGATATGGACGGAGGTAAGCCGGTAGATGTGGTATATCTGGATTTCTCAAAGGCTTTACAAAAACTAGAGGCCACCACCTAAAATTGGTGGAAAAAAAATTCCAGCACAAGGGGCGAAGGGGGTTCTTCACAGTAAGATCAGTTAGGGTCTGGAACTCACTGCCACAGACAGTGATTTCAGCAAAGAATGTGGAATTGTTCAAGAAACTTTTGGACGATTTCTTAAGGGACCGTAATATACAGGGGTACAGGTACTCCTAGAATGAGATCCTAATAGGTTGGACTTGATGGACTAATGTCTTTATTCAACCTCAAATACTATGTAACTATGTGACACCAGCATGTCTTTCAGAATTGCATCCACAATAGGCTTATCAGTAGTAGGGAAATTATCAATAGGATCAACTACCTCTCTTGTATCATTAAGAGGGTGATTTACCTGAGGCGTGGAAGAAGCCGGTGTAGCTCTCTTATGCTTCGGTTTAGACGGGCTGCTGGTAGTTGAAGAGGAGTTGCTGTGTGGTGTAGTTTTCCTAAAGTAGTCAGCAGGCTGTCCATCAGGCGATGCAGCTTGTTAAGGCGGTGAGGAAGAGCCACCTGGAGAGCTGCATAATGATCTGGCACTATCTTCTCTGGAGGGGGACCCAACTGTCCTGTAGTAATCAGTAAGTTTATGGGGTCCAGTATTTGTTTTCCTCTTCCCCATAGTAGCAGACGGTTAACGGGCCAGTGAAGCCGTTGGGAAGGTGAGATAAGTGCTCTGCCGCTGGTTGTAATGCCTCTGATTCACTGCGTTGTTAGAGCCTCTCTAAAGTGCGGCCATCTTCCCCGATGTCAGGCCATGCCCCCTTTTTTTTGTCTAATTTAATCGCTGGTAGCCCTGATGTTAGATCTTTTTTTTCTCTTATACTGTATGTATAGTTTGCATGGGGGAGTTCTTCGTAGTCATCATGTTTAAAAACAATTGGTTCCAACTCTCTCAGCTCAGCTTCCCTTAACTTCTTGTCTAGTACAAGATCACAAGGGACAGAGCAGTCTCCAGCAGCTGTCCATATACTAGCTTGGGGAACGGAGAATGGAGGAGTGAGTAGCAGGAAGGTGTTTGTAGAGACACATACAGCTTACTAAAACACGTGCTTCATAGACCCTGTAAGGGAAAGGAGCCACCCTATAACAGGAAAACAGGGCCAGTGCTCAGGGGACCAGCTGATTCTACAGGAAACTAAAACTTTTAAATATTAAGCACAGCATCCATTGTTGGTAATTTATGTAGCATTTGAAATGGCTTAAAATCCTTTTGACTTTAATATCACTTTAAGCACTTTTTGTAACTGCACTATAGAACTTATTTTGCATTTTTTCTTGTAATTGCATTTCTGCTTAAGCTGTTTATTTATAAATTTTTTTGTGACTATTAACTACTATGTATTGTTTTAGGGTGGCATGGGTGCAGCACTTCTGTCAAGTCCTGAAAAAATAGAGGAAGTAAGTAATATACATATAGAATAACTTTTGTCTGATCAAAAAACATTTCTACTGTGTTTTGATTACTTAACCCTTTTTCTGTTTCCTAAAGTTGCAAGTATGCGGATTAGCTGATCCCCCTAAATCAAAAATCCAATCTATTTTGTTGTCTGTGCCAACCCTGTTATAAATTGGAACCCAAATAAAAAAGACACAATCCAGGCTAACTAGGTACACTCCAAGCAACTAATTGACCTGTATTACAGATCTTCAAAGTATTAATAAACTCTCAAACTTTTTTCAATAATGGATCAAACGAATATACTTTGTGCAGCAAAAAAATGTCTTTACATTTCTGCCCAAGCAATTACAGTCGTCATAGTACGAACAGCTAGCTCCAACTCTCTCAGATCGGCTTCCCCTTACTTTTTTTTGAGTACAAGATCACTAAGGACAGCATAGTCTCCAGCAGCTGTCCATCTACTAGCTTGGAGAAGGGAGGAAGCAGGACAAAGGGGAGTGGCTTGCCTTGCTGTGCCTGTGCATTTGTGGCACCACACACCGCTAACTAGCATGCACAAGAGTAACCTCATAGGACCCTGAAAGGGAAATGAGCCACCCCAAAACTGGATATCAGGGCCAGTGCTCGGTGGACCAGCTGGTTCTACATGAAGCTAAAACTTTTAAGCATCAAGGAGAAACACCCATTATAAGTGCATTTTAAATATCTCCAAGAGGAACTTTACCCTTGTCTTCAAAAATAACTACAATCTATGTTGAAATTAGTCTCTTGGAATGTTAAGGGTCTCCGCTCCCCGAGTAAACAGAACATGGTCCTGCAACATATTAGACGTTTGGAAGCAGATATAACGTTACTTCAGGAAACCCACCTACAGGCTGAGGATTTTTCTCACCTGAGCAAACTCTGGGTTGGGGAGGTGTATGGGTCTCTCTCCGTGGGACACAGGGCAGTGGTGACTATACTCCTGCACAGGAGATTATCTGGCCAAGTGGTGAAAAAGTGAATCACAAATGTTTATATGCATAATTCACCCTCTAAACAACATTTTGGCACGCTGGCTTTCTCAATCACCAACTGCGTTTCATTTGGTGTGGGGTCACTTCAACTCCACAACAATGCACGCCTTTGAGGGCAGGAGGCGGGCTGCCGGTTCCTCTTTGATTGTGAGCCCGCTGCCAGGATCCCAGAAATCTGTGTTGTCTGACTTGATGTCTGCCATGGATTTCCATGACATGAGGAGGTTGCAACACCTCTTAGAAAGTGAATTCACACATTTATCGCGGGTCCACGACTGCTTGTCCAGACTAGATTATTTCTTCTGTTCCTCCCAGATGTTACCGATGGTGGAAGTGTCAGAAATTCATGACATAGCTATTTCTGACCACACACCTATATCATTGCCGCTTCAAATGGCCTTGGAAATCCCAAACTTAATCCTGTGGTGCTTCCCGGGATTCTTAGTTTCCAATGAGGATTTCTGCAATTTTCTCCAGGCCTCCTGGAAAGAATATGCTAAATATAATGGTCAACATATTGATACTCCAACACTTTTTTGGGAGGCGAATAAAGCTTATTTAAGGGGTAGGATTGCTTCATTTGTGTCTGCCTATAAGAAAAAATCTGAATATAGTCCGTCTCCTCCCAATAACCAAAACTAGGAATGGCTAAGAGAAGCTTTGACTTGTAGGCGAACAGATATGAACAAATGAAGATGGCCTTCAATGATTTAGCATATCATAACTATGGGAACAATGCTGGTAAGCTCCTTGGTGAAGGGTAGGCATTCCCCCACAGACATCTGTGCGTTAAAATATCCCACTGGTAAATTGCTCTTTGAGCCGGGACCCATAAATCAAGCTTTGGAGAAATTTTATAGATCCTTATACAGTGCAGACGACATGGACTTGACTAAGGCTGAAAGCTTCCTGGCTCAACTGTCCCTCCCAGGTGTGATAGATGAGCAACTTTGACTCCTTAACGAGGGCATATCTGTTGACAAAGTTGCTCGAGTTATTGCTGGCCTGGCGAGAGCCAAGTCACCAGCCCCAATGGCTTCACTGCAGAAAGATCCTGAAGACTCCTCCTGGACACCCTGTGTTCCCTCTACGATTCTATGTGGAATGGAGAGGCGTATTTCCTGACCGGTAGAGGGGAATATGTCAAACTTCTCCCGAAAGTGGGAAAGGACCCCATGCATCTGGGCCCCTATAAGCCAATTTCACTTATCAATGTTGATGCAAAAATCTTGTCAAAAATTATAGCAGATCGATTGTCCACCATTCTACCATCTATTATTCACACATCGCTCGTTGGTTTAATTAATATCAGACGTGCAATAATGGCCCTGGAGATGAATAAGGCGTCTTCGACACAAGCCACCCCCATAGTTATCTTAGATGCTGAAAAGGTGTTTGATAATGTTAACTTAGACTGGTTATTCAAAGTGATGTCCTTTTTTGGGCTCCAGGGTCGGGTGCTTTCCCTATGGAAACAGATGTATGCCTCTCCCACCGCTAGAATTTGGACACAGGGGGCCCTATCCCCTTCTATACCTTTGCAGAGGGGGACAAGGCAGGGCTGCCCACTGTCCCCCCTAATTTTAATTTGGCATCTGAACCTCTAATTAGGTATATACTGCAGACAGTTACACTACATGGTATCTTAGTGGGCGCGGGAGGAGTTGAGGATCTCACTGTTTGCTGATGACATTATTTACCTCCCGCCCTGCTGTTGATACACCAGAGCTTCAAGCCATCTTAGACAACTTTAGCACTTTCTCTGGTTTCTGCATGATGTATTCTAAAAGTGAAATTCTACCCCTTAATGGATCCTCGAATATAGTGTGGGCTCAATGCACTTCTCTAATGGTGGCACCTCAGAAGCACCTCTTCTTTGTATACCCTTAATTTTCCACACATCATTACTAAAATAGTCTGTGAACTCGAGACATGAAGGGGCCTTCCGTTATTGCTCTTTGGGAGAATACATCTCTTGAAAATGACCAGTTTTGATAGACTTCTGTATTCATTACAGGCCATTCCTCTGCTTTTAAAGTATTCTGGGGGGGCGTGGCCAGGGTGTGAGGCTGAACGGACGTCCATTGCAGCAGCTCCGATCATCCGTCCAGCCATCCTGCTTCCCAGCTGACCTAATCAGGTTTTTACACTTACCCTCTCCTGGCGGGTGTTCCGGTGACGACTGGCGCTCCGTCCATGCGAACCCGACGGCGATCGGCCCGGCCCCGAGCGAGCGGTGTGACTTCAGGCCCTGCTCCTGTCACGCGTGCCGGCGCCATCTGCATCGCCGCTGCGCTGCCCTAACGGCGCTGCCATTGGCCTGAAGGTCACACGGACTGAGAGGGTATACAGCTGAGGATGTACTTGCTCCTGTAGGGAGCTGCAGGGGCGGTACGGTAATGTATACCCTCAGCTAGACTTTGTTTGAGTTTTGTCTTAAAAAAGGCCTACGTGGGAGTATAGAGTAGTACTCTACCTAGTTTAACAGGTTTTGGGATATCAAGCTATTTCACTAGTTTCTGTTGTTATGTGGGATAGCAGGGTGGTTAATGGGATGTTTACTGTTGTACGCTATGGCTCCGATGGCGCCCCTCCCCAGAACTGGGGTAAGCTGTTAATGCGGTCCGCTCTCCGGGACTCTCTGGACTTATTGACTTTCCCGCACTCTGATGGCAGCTGATCTGCGTGTTATCTCATGGAACGTCAGAGGTTTGAACTCCAAATTCAAACGGGCACTGGTGCTTAAGTTCCTACAGTCTAACAATCCGCAAGTGGTTTTTTTGACAGGAAACTCACCTACTAGGAAATAAGATTTTGGCCATGCAGAGGAGGTGGATAGGTAGAGCCTTTCATGCCACCTACTCCTCCTATGCAAGAGGGGTTACCATTCTGTTGCATAAAAATTTTCCATGTGTAATTTCCCAAGTGCTGACGGATCCGGAAGGTAGATACGTGGTGGTTCTGATCGAATATCACTCGCAGACTATTGCGCTTGTCAATGTATATATCCCTCCACCGTTCATTCCCATCATTCAGGGAATGATACTATACACCATTTTGGAAAAAATGGCGCCCTTTTCCCCCTCCAGAGTATTGGTAGCGGGAGATTTTAATAATATACTGGATTACTCCTTAGACACCTCTAACCCCAATAGACCGGTGAATACTCTGTTGAAAGACTGGGCGGAGATGGCAGGTCTTACTGAGATTTGGCGCTGGAAACATCCTGATACCACAGCGTATTCTTATCTCTCACATGTTTCCGGCTCCTCTTCCAGACTGGACTTGGCATTCGCCAATGACACCATGTTAGCCCAAGTCCTGGACTCGAAGTACCTACCTGGAGGTATCTCCGATCATTTGCCACTTTCAATTAGCTTCTTAGTATCCAGTAGACAGCCCGCGCACTTGTGGCGGATGCCCCTTGCCTGGCTTTCCAACGACACGATCGAATCATCGCTAAGGCCCCACTTGGCTACCTTCTGGTCCGTCAATCAAGGTACTGCTCCTGAAGCTGTGACCTGGGATGCATTCAAGGCAGTTACCAGAGGTGAATACATATGTGCAGTTAAACATGCAAAGACAATGGCGAGTCATGACTTAGGTCGGCTCCAAGAGAAAGAGGTTGAATGTGCGGCTGCTCATGCCGAAGTACAGTCCCCGGACACCCTCCAGGCCTTGCTGGGGGTACGAAGGGAGCTGCTACTTCACCATGAGTCGGTGACCCGAGCTATTCTCACCAGACAATCCGAAGCTCTGTACGAGAAAGGGGATAAGAATGGGAAGCTCATGGCAATGTTGGTGGCAGAGCAGAGAAACCAGACAGTGGTTCCCTGTATTAGGGGGCTAGATGGCTCACTAAAATCTGATCTGGCTGATGTTCTCCGGGAATTTGTTGTCTACTACGAGGCTCTTTACCAGCGGATACCTCAGTATGATGTACGTCAATTAGACATACTTCTCGATTCGGTGGACATGCCACG